GAGGCCGCAGCCTCCAACACCAACACGCTCAACAGGAAAACCACGCCCGTCTAGGGGCTCGCGAGCGAGGAGCCGAGGGGGCGCGTGTCCGGGGCGCGTGCGCGGGCGCGCGCGCAACGGGGCTGTCGGGGGCGCCCCCCCTTGAGCTCGCTGGAGACTGCTGGGCCTTCACCCCCACCCCGCCCCCCTCTCCCCGGGTCACCCCCTACCTGCCCTCCCAAGCAGGGACCCCGAGGGTTGGGGCAGCGAGGGGGCCCGTGGGGAAGGAGCGTCGTGTTTTATTTTTTTGTGGGATTTGGGGGGAGGGGGGAGGGCTGTGGTGTCTTTTGCAGTTTTGAGATGTTTTCTTTTTCATGTTTTGCTGTGTGCATGTGGGGGCGGGGCGGGGGGTGGTGGAGGGAGGGACTCCCAGCCCAGCCCAACTCCTGGAGAGGGGTCTATTACACTCCAATATATAGTTATACCTACAAACTATATATATGTATATATATATATACACATATATATGTATATACGCTCTGTATAAAGAGAAGGGAGACGGAAAGGCAAACAAATGGGGAGAGGCGCCGTCGCACTCAAGAGAGCAGTACTTTGGGAAACTCGTGCATTCGTTCACTTTCATTCATTCATTCACGACTCTACAAGAATTTGTTGAGCACCTGCTAGGTACTGAGAAGGTCGCCGGGGAGGGGACGTAAGAGAAACATAGGCACAGAAAGGGACTCATTCATTGACTGTTGTTGTTAGGTGCAGTGGAGTCTACTCCTTACGTATAACAGAAGGAAAGTTGCCCAGTCCTGCACCATCCTCACAGTCATTGCCATTGTTGCGGCCACTGCGTCCATCCATCCTGTTGAGGGCCTTCCTTATTTTCACTGACCCTCTACCAAGCATGATGTCTTTCTCTAGCCGTTGGTCCCTCCCGATGACGTGACCAAAGTAAGTGAGAAGTCTCGCCATCCTCACTTCTAAGGAGCATTCTGGCTGTACTGCCTCCAAGAGATTTATTCATTCTGGCAGTCCATGGTATACTCAATATTCTTGGCCAACACCTCACTTATTCATTCACTACTGGGGATTTATTGAGCACTTGCGTGAGAGGTCTAGTGCTGCACACTGAGCATACAGAAGAGACGAAAACAGACAGGGCCCCGCTGTTCTCGTAGAGTTTACATCTTGTGCATGAGACAGACACTAGTCAAATATTCACATACATAAACAGTAAGTCAGTCAGTACAGGAGCCCTGGTGGTGCAGTGGTTAAACTCTCAATTGCTAGCCAAAAGGTGGGGTCGGTGGTTTGAACCCACCCAGTGGCTCTGTGGGAGAAAAGACCTGGTAATTTGCTCTGGTAAATATTACAGCCAAGAAAACCCTATAGGGCAGTTCTGTCACATGAGGTCACTATGAGTCAGCATCGACTTGACAGCGCCCAAAACAACAACAGTTAGTATGTGGGAGAAATCTAGGATAATACAAAATACTCCATCGGGGGGCGGGGGCTTAACCCAGTTTCAGGAGCCCTTGTGATGCAGTGGTTAAGCGCTCAGCTGCTAACTGAAAGTTTGGCGGTTTGAACCCACCAGCTGCTCCGTGGGAGAAAGATGTGGCAGTCTGCGTCCATAAAGATGACAGTCTTGGAAACCCTATGAGGCAGTTCTACTCTGTCCTATAAGGTCGCTATGAGTCAGAGTTGACTCGATGGCAGTGGGTTTGGGTTTTTTAACCCAGTTTCAGAGGAAGAGATATTTTAGTTAACACTGGAAACGATGACAAAGAGCCAATCAGGTGAAACTGGGCGGGGGGGGGGGAAGGAGAGGAAGTGTTCCAAACAGAAAAGCATATACAAAGGTCCTGAGGTAGGAAAGCACTTCCAGAGAAGGCGGAGGTATAGTGAGCCAGGTGGGGGTGAAGCAAGAAAAAGCTAGACATGGGCATGGCCAGGTTGTACAGGGGCTTGTAGGTTAGGTAAGCAGTTTAGATTTTATTCTAAGGGTGGTAGGGACATGGAATGTCTTTAAGCAGGAGCATTATATGAATGGTGTACATAGGGAAACAAACTCAGAGAAGAGTGAGAGGCAGATAGGAGCTGGAATAACTACTCTTGAAACTCACTCTAGTGGGAGGAAGCATGTAAGTACAAAAACACTGAAGCACAAGCATAGTGTCTGAAATACTGGGACATAAAGATTTGTGTGTTTCACTCATTCATTAATTCAGTTCCCCACTCACTGACATTTTGAGCATCCGCCAATGTTCCAGGATGAAAAAAACAAACCCGTTGCCGTCAAGTCAACTCTGACTCATGGCAGCCCCACATGTGGAAGAGCAGGACTGTGCTCCGTAGGATTTTTAATAACTGTGATCTTTTAGAAGTATTTTACACAAATAACAAGTGCCTTCTATGCTTGTTTGCCAACGAGCTCATCCCCCTGTGAAGTATTTTCCTAAGCACGATATGCTAATTATTTTTACAGCAACATGTAAAAAAATTGGCATAGTGGTGCTTATGAAAATATCTTGTGGGGGAAGGGCACAGTTGGCAAACAAATGTAGGAGGCACGTGTTATTTGTGTAAAAATATGGTAGATTGCCAGGCCTTTCCTCCAAGGCTCCTCTGGGTGGACTTGAACCACCAACATTTTGGTTAGCAGCCAAGCACTTAACCATTTGCTCCACCCAGGGACTCCCAATGTACCAGGCAGTGTGTTAGAACCTGGAATCCCAGAGGTGAAGATGACCTTTTCCCTGCTCTCAAGGAGCTTAGATTATAATCATCAGATACATTGACAGACAACCACAATACAGGCAAAAACCAAAAAACCAAAAAAAGTCGATTCCAACTGATGGCAACCCCATGCATGACAAAGTAGAACTGCTCCATAGAGTTTTCTTGGCTGTGATCTTTACAGAAGCAGAGCTACTGGGTGGGCTCAAACCACCAACCTTTAGGTTAGCAGCCGATTGCAAACTGCTTGCGCCACAAAAGACACCCTGGAACACAGAGGGCAGAGTGACTCATCTGCCAGGAATGGGCAGTACTCGGGGGAAACTTCGCAGAGAACATGGTGCCCAATCTGGACCTTAAAAGGATGAGTAGGAGTTGGCCAGGTGGAGAAGGGAGTGAGAAAAATAATCAGGGCAAACAAACAGCTTGGGCAAAGGCCTGGGGGAGTGAAACAGCACAGTGTGTTGGGAACAGTTCTAATAGTTCTGAGATACTGAAGTACAGAGTGGGGGTGAGGCCAGAGAGGCCGACAGAAGCCAGAGTCTAAAGATCCTTGAATTCTGGGCTGAGGGGTTTGGACTTTATTCTAAGGGCAGTGGGGAGCCATGAGGGAGTTTGGAGCAGGAGAAGAGCAAGAGCAAATGCAGGTGTTAGAAAGAACTGCCTGGTGCCTGGGGAAGGGATGAACAGGAGGCTGATGCTGTGGGGTACATGCGAGAGGATGAGAGTTGAGCTGTGATGATGGGGGCTGTGGGGGCAGAGAGAAGGTGATGCGTTTGAAGGTCATTGAGGAGGAAGTAATATCTCTTGACATCTTCTGTGTGCCACACCCTGTGCTCTGTGGTGCTGGGAACGCAGAGATGATGCAGGCTTGCCTTACCCTCTAGGGGTTCTCTGTCTGGCGGGAAGATAGACACACAGGCAGCACAAGGGAAGAAGAGGTTAGCAATGGTGCCAAGGGCTCCGCAAGCCTTTATCCCGAGAATGTGGGAGCAGCATCAAGGGGTAGCACGGAGGAGGAAACGGATCAGAACTGGATGTTAGGAATTTCTCTCGGGCGCCAGTATGGATGGACTAGAAAGAGAGAGACTCAAGGTCAAGAGGCCTGGGAGGAATTCAGTTACAGGGAGAGATGCTGAAAAATGTAGGAGAGGCATACAATTAGCAAGACAGAGAAGAATTTCATATAGCTGCCATCTAGTCGTGCCCAGCCCCCTACCTGTATTCATGATGATCTCGAGATGCACAGTGGAGGGAAACACTGCCCAGTCCCACCCCATTCCCATGATCAGCTGTGGATTAGACCATTGTGATCCATAGGGTTTTCACTGGCTGGTTTTTGGTAGTAGATCTCCAGGCCTGTCTTCCTAGTCCTTCTTAGTCTGGAAACTCTGCTGAAACCTGTTCAGCATCATGACAGCCTCCACCGACAGATGGGTGGTGGCTGTGTGTGAGGAGAACTGATTGAGAATTGACTCAGGTCTCCCACTTGGAAGGCGAGAAGTCTACTACTGAACCACCAATGACAAATGGAGAGAAGTTGAGTCAAAAGAGGCAAATTTGGTGGTGGTGGGGTTCTTTGGTGCAGGAGGAGGGCAGAATTGGTTAAAAGAGAGTGAATTCTGGAGTCCAAAGGCCAACTATAGAGCAAGAAAGAAGTGGAGGGTAGGCAGGAGGAAGAGAGATGGGCGAGGAGGGTGAGCACAGAGGAGACTAAAACTGGGTGAAGGGGACAGACAGAGTCACAAAAGACATAGAGATAAGGTCAAAGACACAGGAAGGTAACCTGGAGAGAAGAGCAGAGAAGAAAAGAAATGAGAGAGACTGACAAAGAGATGCACATATCAGAGGAGAGAAGTCTGTAAGATAGCAAAACACACACACACACACACACACACACACACACACACACACACAGATCATAGAGGTAGAAGCCAGAAATGGAGAAAGATTCAGCGTTATGCACAGAAAAAAAAAAAAATCAGAGAAATGATTCATTTTTCCCCAGTAGTCAAGAAATATCTATTGAGTGCCTATCTTTCCCAGCAGTATATTGTCCAGTACGGAGCAGTTCTACTCTGTAAGATATGGGGTCAAGATGAGTCAGAATCAACTTGATCACAACTGACAACAACAACATAGTGTTGGAAGATGAGCCCCTAGCTTGGAAGGCACTACACAGTGGCTGCACCAATGGACTCAAACACGCCAACGGTCATGAAGGAGACGCAGGACCAGGCAACTTTCATTGTTGTACGTGGGGTCACCATGAGTTGGAGCAGACTTGTCTACAACTAACAACAGCCTATCCCAGACCCAGTTGAGGTCAAAGAAATATAATGGTGAACAGACAAAAGTCCTGCTCTCCTGGCACTCATACCAGCGAAAAAACAAATAAGATAACTGTGGTTCCTGCTAAGAACTTTAAAAATTAAACAGATGTTATAACAGGATCATGGGGTGGGATTGACTTTAGATAGAGTAGTCAGAGAAGACCTCACTGAAGAGTAACATTTGAACAGAGATGTGAAATAGACTTGTGAAGATTTGGGGACAAGCATTCCAGCCACCTAGCACAAGCACAAAGGCTCTGAGGTGTAACAGGTTTTCCAGGAGTTCCATAGGGTAAGCAGATGAGGAGTGGGTGAGAGAATAGGGGATGAGGGCTGATCAAGTAGGGCTTTGAATTTTCTTGGAGACCCAGTGGAAAGCCATTAGAGGATTTTGAGCACAAGAGTGACATGATCAGATATTCATTCAAAACAAAAACAAAAAAACCAGAATCATTCTGCTGTGCTGAGAATAGATTTTTGGGAGTCAAAAGCGGAAGCAAGGAGACGGTGAGGGGAACTCTTGTAGTTATCCAGTCGGGGGTGATGGTGGCTTGGAGTAGGGTGGTGATGCCAGTGGGGAGGGAGAGAAATGGAAGGACCAGGTGTCGAATTTTGGAGGTAGACCCTACAGTGGTGGTGAACTGGATGTAGTGGAGGAGGGAATGGGAAACCAAGGTAAGGTAGAAAAAGGAACTCTATGAACTGGGCATGAGCAACCTGGATAACTGCTTTGGTATATTGCCAGGAAGAGAAAAATTGGGAGGAAATGGGACTTGGGTGGGAGGGATCGAGAGTTCTTCTTTGGATATGCCAAGCTGGAGATGGCTGTGAGAAATCCCAGTAGGGGTATCAAGTCTCCAGTTGGATATGTGAGCCAGTAGCTTGGGGGAGAGGTCATAGCTAGAAATATAAATCTTGGAAATGTCAGCATATAGAAGACATTTAAAGCCACAGGACTGGATGAGATAACCTCAGAAGAAGAGTGTAGATAGAAAAGATGACCCTGGTTAGAACCTTGGGGGCATCTACATCAGGGGGAGAAGAGGGTCTGGCAAAGGGACCAAGAAGGAGTGAGCACAAGGTAGGTGGAAAAGCAGGAGAGTCACAGAGATCAAAAGAACAATGTTTCAAGAAAGGGAGGAAACAGCTGTGCTGAAGGCTGCTGAGAGTTGGAGGAAGATCAAGAACAAAGCGACCACTAGGTTTGACAACATAGATGTGGTTGCTGACCTCAGTGAGCAGTCATTTCAGTGTACCTTTGGGGACTTTAGCCCTGCTGGCAAGGGAAGGGAGAAGAGAGAATGAAGGAGGGAGGACAGAAGAGTCCAGACAAACACAGAAAGGAAAGAAATGGACACTTGCAGGCAGGGAGCTGAAAGATAGAAAAATGCACCCTGAGATTTTTGTTAGTTGCTGTAGAGTTGGCTCTGACTCACAGCGACCTTATGTACAACAGAACTAAACATTGCCTGGACCTCTGCCATCTTCATAATGTTTGAGTCCATCACTGTGACTATACCCTGAAATTAGAGAGCTGTTACGGCAGGCAAGATTGAGAAAGATGGGGAGACCCAAGACCAGGAGGGAACACGGATTCAGGACATGGGGCAGAGGTGTTGTTGGAAGGTGTGGCAACTGCTTTGGGTGGGAGGCTCTGGCGGACTATCCATGGCTGCTCTGTCCAGCCCCCACTGCTTGCTGCTGCCTGCATCTGTCATGCTTCTCGGATTCCCCTCTGAATCCTGCCAAGACTTGGGAAACCCCAGGGAGAAGGGATAGAACAGTTTTCATTCATTCATTTGACAAGTATTTCCTGAGGCACACCAGGTGCCAGGGCTTGCGACCTCAGAGCTGTGTCCATCGCAGTCTATGTCCTTGGGGGAGACAAATAGACAGTCAGAATACAGAGGGAGGCATGTGCTAACTGGGGCCATGCAAGCATTGAGGAAACACAGCAAGCACCTTACCTAGTTTGGGAGGGGATGTCTGTGGGTCAGCATCTCACTTCATTCATTCATTCATTCACCTAATGCACATTTCCTAAGGCCCGCTGTGTACCTGGCCCTCAGCTGGGCAGTGCTGAGGACGCTGAGATGAGTTCCTCCTGTCCTTGTCCCTGGCTCCGGGCTGGCAGGAGAGCCAGACACAGATGCAAACGATCACAACCCAGGGCAGTGTGTGCTTTGGTGGAAGCATCCAGAGCAGGGGGAGACAGAGGGGTAGCGTGCCCTGGAGCCCTGGCCAGGCCGTCCACCAGGCCTGGCTGGGGCAGCCAGCTGAGGCTGAAGAAGGAGTTGGTGACAGGTGGGTCCCACCTGGGTGGTCCACAGAAGGGCTGAGAGAGGGGGTGAGGCGTTGCAGATCAGGCCCTGCTGCCATGCCACATGGCTGTCCCAGTCCCTGCCCTTGGAGGGGCTGAAACTGCATGGAAGGTCCCCCAGGGGCGCCCCGTCTAATAAACTCAGTGAAGAGGACGGCTGCTGTTGTTCCGGCGCTCCACACTGAGGTCCTCCTTGAGGCCTGCTGCCCTTTCCATCCCAACATGGGATTGGGCCCCCACCCCTTCCTCCCTCAGAACCTGGAGGAGTCCCAGTTCTCTCCTTCCTCAGACTCAGACACCTGAGTCCCTGAGCCCCTCCCCTCTCATAGGGGGAGTCCATGACCCCAGTTCCTCCTCCTTAAGACCCAGGAGCCCAGACCCCCAGCCCCTCCTCTCTCAGACCTAGGCGTCTAGGCCCTAGCCCCTTCCTCCCTCAGATCCAAGAGTCTTGGCCCCCGGCCCCCTCCTCCCCAGGACCCAGATGTCAGCCCCCCAGTCTCTCCTCCCTCAGACCCAGGAGTTCAGATCCTCAGGGCCCTCCTCCTCCTTCAGGGACCCAACTCTCCCTGGCACAGGCCTTTCTCCCTCAGAGCCCTAGCCCCTTCCTTTTCTCTGCACCCAGCTGCATAGGTCAACCTGCTCCAGACCTGGAATCCAGTCTCCCTGTCCTGTCCTCTCTGCCCCCTAGGAGATCCTAGAGTGGGGACGCTGCAACCCGGCCTTCGCCCCTTTGGGAAGTAGAAGTCCCTACAGGCTGCAGCCCTTCCAGGACCGGCCCCCCGCCCCTCCTCCTCGCGGGGCCTTCCTCCTTCCCCCTCGTCCCCTTAAAATACCCGGGATCCCTATGGCAACAGGCGCCGGGCGACAGGTGCGGGTGTTATTTACGGGTCGCGCCCGAAATAGCCCCGGTGGGTGGGGATGGGTGGGTGGGGGTGAGGCCCGGGTGAGCGAGGCGACAGTGACGGCGGAGCTGGACTGTCGGAGGCAGCGCGGAGCTGGGAGCGGCGCGGCCCAGGCAGGAGAGCGAGGGGGCCCCCGGCCCAGGAGGCGAGGGTGGGCGGCCCGAGGGGGGCCCTGGCCCAGAGCCGACCCTGGCGCTGTCCTGGCTGGTCCGGCCCTGGGAGCCAGGGGGAGGAGGTGGAGTCGCCCCAAAGTGAACCCCAGTCCCTTCTGGGTCCCAGCTGTCCTTTGAATCCTAGGGTACAGTGTTCCTGGTACCTGAGCGGAGGTGAGGACCACAGCCCCTTCATCTGAGCCCATTGGGGACCCCGGGTCCCTCTTCTTAACCCTAGTTCCCTTTTTGTGGTCTCCACTGTGTCTTAGCCACCAGTCCCCTTTCTCCGCCCCAGTGGGGACCTTGATCTCTCTTCTCTGAATGGCGGGGATACCCCCACCCCCTTTTCCTAAATCCCAGTGAGTCCCCAGGGACCCTAGCCCTCTCTTCTGTGAACCCAGCGGTTTCCCTTCTAGGAATCCTGGGGAATCCCATTAATTCTCTGCCACCCAGAGGCCTCCCCTTCTTAGCTTCCCTAGGAAACCCAGTTTTTTCTTCTGAATCCTACAGAGGACCCAACGCCTCCCTCCCCAGACTCTGAGCCCAAAAGAGCCTTGGACCTTATCTCCTCTCAGACACACAGAGGACCTTGGCTGTCCTTCCTGGGTACCCCAAACTCTGAGTCCTAGTGGGATGCCCAGGCCCTTTCCCCCAGAAAACTCAATTTCCCTTTTGTGAATCTGTTCAGTGGGGACCCCAAAGCAGCCCCTCAGCACTTCAGCCGGCACACAGGCCCTCTTCCTGGGTACCTAGGTTCTCTCTCTGAGCTTTGGGGAGACCTTGCTTTTCCTCTGCAACCATTTTTTTTGCTGGGTTCCTGGGGTGACTCCCAGCCCCTTCTCTGAATCTCAGAGGGTCCCCCGCCAGGGGATCTATTTTTTTCTCTCAGAGGTGACTTCAACTTGGCCATTTGAGGAACCCTAGTACCTTTCCTGTAAGTATCAGGGAGGACTCCGTCTCCCTCGTTCATAACCCAGTGGAAACTGAGTCCCGAGACCCCTTCAAGGCCCCAGGCTGCCCCACTGGCTCCTCAGGAGCACTTCTCAGCTCTGCCTCCTTTGAGCTTTGAACTGTCACCAAGATGACAATGTGGCCCAACTTCTTCATGCAAGAAGAGGACCGACGGCGCGGGGCAGCAAGCCGGCGGCGGGCCTGTGGGCAGCAGGGTGCCAGGATGACCCCAGAGCGCGAGGGGAAGATCAAGCTGGCACTACTGCTGGCCACCGTGGGCGTCACACTGGCTGTGCTGGCTGTGGGCACAGAGTTCTGGGTGGAGCTCAACACCTACAAAGCCAATGACAGTGCCATCTGCGAAGCTGCCCACCTGGGGCTGTGGAAGGTGTGCACTAAGCGCCTGTGGCAGGCCGACGTGCCCGCAGGCAGGGACACTTGCGGCCCCGCGGAGCTGCCGGGAGGTGAGTGGCCACTTCCCTGAGTCCAGGCCTGGAGGCCACAGACAGTAAGGAGGAGGGGGTCTGTGCTTGAGGAAACGGGCCCAGAGAGAGCCTGAGCCCCCAGGAGAGAGCTGGTACCCCAGGAACAGCCTGTGTTCCCAGAGAGAGCCTGAGCCTCAAAAGCTTGTGCCCTGTAGCCAGATCAACCTGTGCACAAATTGTGCAGAGAGAGACACACTGTGTCCCTAGACAGTTTGTGTCCCTGACTAGCCTACCCCCAGGGGACCTGAGCTTCTATATAATCTGTGCTTAGAGCTTGTCCTTTAGCTATAGGCTGTACCCCCAGACCAGCCTACACCCCCTAACCAGCCTGTACCCTCAGATCAGCCTATGCACCCAGATAAGCCCGTACTCCCAAACCAGCCCATACTCCCAGACCAGCCCATGCCCCTAGACCAGCCCATGCCCCCAGAACAGCCCATGCCCCATTACCAGCCCATGCCCCTAGACCAGCCCATGCCTCCTTAACAGCCCATGCCCCCAGGCCAATCCATGCCTGTAGACCAGCCCATGCCCCCAGACCAGCCCATGCCTCCAGGCCAATCCATGCCCCTAGACCGGCCCATGCCTCCTTACCAGCCCATGCCCCCAGACCAGCCCATGCCTCCAGGCCAATCCATGCCCCCAGACGAGCCCATGCCCCCAGACCAGCCCATACCCCTGAACCAGCCCGTGCTCCCAGACCAGCCTGTACCCTCTGACCAGCCTGTGTCCCCAAACCAGCCCATGCCTCCAGACCAGCCTATACCCCCGATCAACCCATGCCCACAGACCAGCCTGTACCCTAGACCAGCCCATTAGCCCAGACTAACCCATGCCCTAGACCAACCTGTACCTCCAGCTATAGCCTGTACCCCCAGACCGGCTGTGTCCCCAGATCAGTGTGTGACCCCAGACCAGCATATGCCTCTAGACCATCCTGTACCCCCCGACCAGCCTCTACTCCCAGTTACAGCCTGTGCCTCCAGACCATCCTATGATCCTTAAGTTCCTGTGCCTCCAGAATGACCCATTTCCCCATACTGCTTGTGTCCCTAGAGAAACCTAGTGCCTCCACACTTAGCCTGCACCCCCTGAGATGGCCTGTGACCCCAGACCACCTTGTGTCCCCAGACATCCTGTGCCCCTAGCCATAGCCTGTACTCCCAGACATCCTATGCCTCCCAGAAAAGCCTGCACCCCGAGACAGCCTGTGCCCCTAGAGAAGGAGCCTGGGTTCCTGGTGTCAGCTTGCTCTTCCCACACTGCAGACAGCCTGCATTCTCATCCTGGGGGTCCAGGGGAGACAGCTCTCCTTGACGCCCACCCACAGTAGAATCTCTGTTCCCACCGAATGAAGTTCTCACCAGAAACCTTCCAACAGACCTCTGAGAACTGACATCATGCCTCTCAGCCAATGTTCTTCATTCTCGGTCCCTCTCACCTCTAGATGCCCAGACGACATTCCAGCCCATCTCACTTTTCTCTGATAGGCCCCACATCCCTCACGTACCCACATGCTGGCTCTTCCACCCCTAGCCACGCCAGAGTTATCCCATACCACTCACTCTCCCTGACAGGACATGCCATACCTTTTACATGTACCAGTGGGACATTCCATACCCCTTAGCCACGTAACTGGGCTCTCGCTCTGACCCAAGGAAAATATCTGCCACCCCTCAGGGCTCATTCAGGATGTCACATCCAGTGAAACCTGTGAGATCCAGAACTCAACAGGAGTGCCTTGTTTTTCCAAGTCTTGCAAGTTTTCCACCTTTGACAGGGTGCAGTCTTATCACTTTTCTATTGCTCTCTGTTAGTGGAAAATATTTAAGTTTTCCTTCTCTGACAGGTTTTTGCCTTACACACATTCCACCTTCTTCATATTTTTCTGTAGTTGATCACCCGGATGAACTCTACAACACTCTCTGCTTCTCTAAGAGATGCCCTACAATCTCCATCACCACCAGTTGCCATTGAATCAATGTGTGTCAGAGTAGAACTGTGCTTCACAGAAGTTTCAATGGCCAGTTTTTAGGAAGTAGATAGCCAGGGCTTTCTTTCAAGGCACCTTCTGGGTAGATCTGAACCACCAGCCTTTCAGTTAGCAGTCATGCCCATTAACCATTCTCACCACTCAGGGACTCTCCATTAGAGCACCAACCAACCAACCAGTTACCATCGAGTCAACTCTGACTCATGGAGATCTCATGTCTGTTAGAGTAGAACTGCATGCCACAGGGTTTTCAATGGCTGATTTTTCAGAAGTAGATGGCCAGGCCTTTCTTCTGAGGGGCCTCTGGGTGGACTCGAACTGCCAACCTCTCGGTTAGCAGACGAACGTGTTCACCATTTGCACCGCCCAGGGCCCTACAATTTCTGTATCGATCAAAGGACATCCCCAATTTCTCTGATTTCCATATGGGATTCCCCTTATCCCTCACATCTCCGGATGCAACTTCTTATATCACTTAGGTCCAAAATAGGATATCCCAAACCCTTGATAGCAAAATGGCATGCTACGCACCACTTACTGTCTGAGATACCCATTCAGTGTCCAGACTGGACACCTGCAGATGGACTATCTCTCACTATATCCCAAGCAGGATATTCCCAAACGTTTGCAAAGTGGATGCTCCAGCAATAAAAATAGCAGGTGCCTATGTAGTGTTCAGCTCTGTTCTAAGAATTTTTCACATATTAACTCATTCAGCTTCACAGCAATCCTGTGAGTGAAAACCAGTTGCCATGGAGTTGACTCCAACTCATGGAGACCCTATGTGTGTCAGAGTAGAACTGTGCTTCATAGAGATTCTACATTTTTTTGGTTTTTTTTAATTGTACTTTAGGTGAAGGTTTACAGAACAGATAGTTTCTCATTAAACAATCAGTACACATATTGTTTTATGGCACTGGTTAACAACCCCATGACATGCCAGCACTGTCCTTTCTCAACCTTGGGTTCCCTATCACCAGCTTTCCTGTCCCCTCCTGCCTTCTAGTCCTTGTCCTTGGACTGCTGTGCCTCATTAGTCCCGTTTTGTTTTATGGGGCTGTCCAATCCCTGGCTGACCGGTGAACCTAGGGAGTGACTTCACCACCGAGCTAAAAGGGTGTCCGGGGGCTGTACTCTCGGGGTTTCTCCAGTCTCTGTCAGGCCAATAAGTCTGGTCTTTTTTTGTGTGTTAGAATTTGGCTCTACATCCTTCTCCAGCTCTGTCCAGACACCTCTGTTGTGATCCCAGTCAGAGCAGTCAGTGGTGGTAGCCAGGCTCCATCTAGCTGTACTGGACTCAGTCTGGAGGAGGCCTATGGTAGCTGTGGTCCATTAGTACTTTGAACTAATCTTTTCCTTGTATCCTGTTCTCTTCATTCTCCCTTGTTCCTGAAGGGGTGAGACCAGTGGCATATCTTAGATGGCTGCTCACAGGCTTTTAAGACCCCAGAAGTTACTCACCAAGGTAGAATGTAGAACATTGTCTTTATAAATTGTGTTATGCTAGTTGAGCTAGATGTTCCCCGAGACTGTGGTCCCCACAGCCCTCAGCCCAGCAATTCAGTCCCTCAGGGAGTTTGGATGTGTTTATGGCGCTTCCATGACCTTTCCTTGTACAAGTGTGTGCTGGCTTCCACAATATTGTGTACTGTCTTACCCTTCACCAAAGTTACCACTTATCTATTGTCTATTTAGAATTTTCCCCCACCCCTCCCATCCCTCATAACCAACAAAGATTGTTACTTTTTGTGTGTAAACTTTTTCATGAGTTTTTAAAATAGAGGTCTCATACTGTTTTTCCTCTTTATTTTGATGAGTAGATTTGTTAAGTTTCTTTGTGGTTACCATGAAATTTACCCTTATCTTTCGAAGTTTGAAGCAGTCTATTATTACTTGGTATCGCCTTGCCTTCCTCTCCATTAGAAGGTTCTATACCTACACCATTTATTCCCTTTTTATTGGTATGATGTTGTCATTTAAGATTAACTGCTCTGATTTGGGTTTGGATAGTCCTTGAGAGTTCATTTCCTAGATTGGTATCTGACTGGTATGATCCTGCGTCTTAGATTCAGCCCGTGAGCTGATGTTGTTTGTTCTCAGATCGAAGGACTCCCTTTAATAATTCTTATAAGTTTGGTTTGGTTTTTACATAGTCCCTTAATTTCTGTTTATCTGGAAATGACCTAATTTCACCATCATATTTGAACGAGAGTTTTGCAGGATATATTATTCTTGGCTGGCAATCTTTTTCTTTCAAGGTTTTATATATGTCATCCCATTGCCTTCTTGCCTGCATGGTTTCTGCTGAATAATCTGAGCTTAGTCTTATCGTTTCTCCTCTGTATGTGACTTTTTCATTTTTCTCAAGCTGCTCTCAGGATTCTTTGTTTGTCTTTGGTTTTGGCGAGTGTGGTTATGATATGCCTTGGTGATTTTCTTTTGGGGTTTATCCTATATGGGGTTTGTTGTGCTTCTTGGATGGCCGGCTTTTCATCTTTCATGAAATTGGGTAAGTTTTCTGTTAGCAGTTCTTCAATGATCCTCTCTGTGTCTTCTGTTTTCTCCCCCTGTTCTGGAATTCTGATCACTTGCAGATTTTTGCTTTCGATTGTATCCCCCATAATTCTCACGGTTTCTTCATTTTTCTTCGTTCTTTTTTCTGATTTGTCCTCGAACTGAATTGTATCCAAGTGTTTGTCTTCAATTTTGCTAATCTTGTCTTCCACTGTTTCATACCTGCTCCTCAGCCCTTCTATGACACTGTCCATTTCTGAAGTCTTGTTGTTTATATTTTGGATTTCTAATGGTTGTTTTTGTATGATTTCTAGTTGTGAATTTATTTTGGCATTTTGTTCCTGCATTATTTTCCTGAATTCTTCCATTTTTTTGTCTGCATTTGCCATGAATTTGTCTGCCTTTTCCATGAATTTGTCTGTTTTTTCCATTTTTGTCTGCTTTTTGCTTCAACTTTTGGATAGCTCTGAAT